GGTACACGAATACCGCAGCAATCACCCCAACCCGCACTCGCATGTACGTGTCTCTTCCCCGTCTCATCGTCAAACACCTTGACCTCTCCACCCTCTTCTTCCTCTTCCTCCTTCTCCACACCCGCCTCCTCTTCCGTGCTCATACCCTCAACAGGCGGTACCAAACTGCCAAATAAGAAATGTTGCATAACAGGCAATTTCTCCAGAATCTCCTTGCGGAACATCTTCCGCATCCCAGATTCGATCTTCGCCCATGACTTTGCAGAAGATATGTCGTCGAGCATGGGTGAATGCCAGCGCAGACCTTCCACGTTCTTGACTGAATTGACAAAAGATATCTGATCCAGGTAGAGAAATTCCTTGCTCTCCTCTTCCAGCACCAACGCGTTGTGTATGCTCTTCGGTGTGATGTAGGGGTGATGGAGCAATTGCGCTGCGCCGAACAAGAACGGAAGGAACTGGTAGTCGTCCAGGCCCCAGACGCCATGTGAACCCGCTGGCTCGAGGTAATATGATTCCTGGACGCGGCGCATGAGGCGGAGGTATGCGGGGAGGACGACGAGGGCGAGCGCAGGGAATGTAGTATCGGGGAGTATGCCGATGCGATTGAGGCAGAGTAGCCAGAGGAAGAAGTTGAGTTCGTGGCCGGAACCGTAGTCTATTCTTCGCTTGTTTCCGAAGGAGTTGTGGAGGTACGTCGCTACCTCATCAACCTGTGCCCTGTCGTTCAACCCGAGCTTCTCGTGCCATAGCGGTAACACGGTCTCGACTTCATCGAGGAAGGTGCGGAAGACTGGGTTGCCGAAGCGCGAGCCTGTATCTTCTGGTGGACACCTGTCTAGCACTTTCTCCGCTTCTGCTAGTATCTGCACGACTGTCTTGACAGTGTCTGTGACTTCTTCATCTTTGATGCTCGAGATGCTGCGGTCGCGTACCGAGTCGGCGATGCCGAACACGAAGGCTTCGACTAGCGTGCATGTCTTGCTCTTGAGAAATAGCTGGTGGTCTTCTGGGCTCAATATGCGCCTCGAGGGTCGCGTGTACGCATGTCTCTCTAGATTCGGCGGCGCGGGTAACGAGGGCGTCTGTGGGGGAGGGGCAGACGGCGGTTCTCGCGATGTGGGGGCGCGTTTGCGGGGGATGAGCTTGGGGAGTTTGGCGCTGAGGTCTGGCGGAGGCGACGGGATGGCTGGCGGTTGCGTCTGTGTCATCATGTTGTGTACTTTATGTGTTGGTTGTTTAGGTGTGGATTGTTAGGGTGCTCAGCGTTAGAGGCGCGTGGAAAGTGGAGGGACGGGCCGCGGCTCCGTGAGCGTCATTCGCGACTTTCATCGAAGGTTTGTTACACCAGACTAATCTATCGAAGCTTCTGTTGCATTCAGAGAACGGGAAATAAGACAGGACAAGATGACATCGCTGTACCACTACACATCCTCGCCATTTTCTCTGTTCAGATGAGATGCATATGAAGCCTTGTGAACACCATGTATCTCACATCCTGAATCCGTCTCTACAGCGCACAAGACGTCACTCATTACACAAAGTCTTGCACAAACGTCGTTACATGCGTCTTCGGAAGCAAGGGAACGCCTCCGTCGTACCAGCCTTATCGGCAGGGCGCAGCGTGATGTCAGATCGTTGCAACCGACTCCATTGTGCAAAGTATACGATGCACGTCTCGGCTTGATTGAGCATTATACAGGTTGCGGTGAGCATGCTCTCATCATCTTCGGGAGCACTTCTGGTTTTCAAGCGCAAGACGATGTCATGTGGGGCTTGCGCATTCAAGCTCCATATGAGCTTGAGTTCTTCTCTGAGATTTCTCGGTGCGTTCGATTGCGCCGTTTCTTTCTTACTTTGAAATGGATTGCTATCAATTCATGTCAATTGTTCCATGCCATCATCTGTTCCTGATGATGCTACTGTGTCTTTCTGTTTCCTTCGAGAAGTCCGCACGGCTTTTGTGTCTACATGGTGAATCTCTTTCTCATACGAAAGAGGTTCAGCTGGTGAGATGAGAAGTGAAAAGCAATGAACAAGGAAACGCGACATTTGAGCAGGACTTCATGTACTCTTATCGTTTTAGTATATCAAAACATATACCATCTATATACATCCAAATCGTCCCTATCCAACCTCGTCTCTTCATCCAATCCGCGGGTATCAAACGTGCTCTGAACGTCTCTTCAGCCCTTCATATCACCCCTACGACCTACACAAGAGTAGATCGGCCAAGCCCTTACATAACCGTACAGCACCCAAGCTTCTTGAGCAACCTAGACAAGCCCTTCTTGGCCATCTGCTCAATCTCATCATTCTGACCCTGCTGCTGTCCATGGTGTTGCTGGCCACCATGTTGTTGACCACCATGCTGCTGGTGACCTCCATGTTGCTGTCCGCCATGTTGCTGGCCGCCATGTTGACCACCGTGCTGTCCACCATGTTGTCCAGGATATCCTCCATAGCTCGGAGCCTGAGGAGGCGGCGGCATCTCATGCACATCACCACCCTGCAGATTCACAAAGATCCTACCCTCGTTCTCCTCAGTGCGATACTGCAATCCCAATTCGCGGCACACCTGCTCGACTCGCGGCTTGATCTTCTGGACATGATTCCTACTGTGGTTGCCCTTACCCACAATAACGTGTAGATGGCCTTCTCCCCTCTGTCTCGCGACCCTAATCCTCTCTTCCAGCACATCTTCGGCCTCTTCGACAAATAAGCCGTGGAGGTCAATGGTATCGCCCGCAACTCTGCCCTCGGCGTTGTTTTCCCGGAAGATGTAATCGCGCGCTTGACGGTTGTATTGGTCCATCTTCGCGGCGTGGGCTTTGCCTTCTTCGGAAAGCTCGTGGGCGCGCGCTCCATCGCCGGACTCGTAGGCTTGGTGGGCTTTGTCGAAGCAGGAGGAGCGTTTTGCGGCTTCTTGGCGCGCAAGGTCGCGGAGACGGTCGTACTCGGCTTCGGTATCGGCGGACGCGTGGTTTAGGGCTGGAGATAATTGTCAGGCAATGCGCATTGTAGATTGCGAGCGGTAGTGATTGTTCGTCACGGCGTGTCAGGCTTCGAGTACGTACAGCGCGCGCCCAATGAGTGCATTTCCATGGCGGCCATCTTGTCGCGACACCAATTATAACAATAAAAATCGCGAGAGAAGCGTGGGTGATGCTGTGTTATGTTGTTGTCGAGCGACAGCACACATTAAGATGAAGCTCGGAGGCGCTAAGCGGGTACATGCAGATGCGCAGGGTCCAGATTTGACGTGGCTCAGCCGTGAAGATCGGGCAGACCCATCGTGGAGTACCCAAGATTGAACCACTGACACGGTAACAATGCGCTGTACTGCGTGTAGACCGATATGCACATGAAGTGAATTGGGTTGGTATAATAATCGTACGATGCTGCTTTGGTGCCGACAGACCCGCAGAGCTTGCGCTGTAATTCCGCCAACATATTCAAACCCCTGCAATGCGTATACGACTGTTCAAGGCTGATGGCTGCGACATGGATGGGCAGGATCGAAAGTCGCCCTAGAAACGAATCTTCGGCCCAACGAAGACGATCAGGAAGGCGATCACCCATAGCCCAGCGATCATGCCATACAGCTTGATCCTGTCCCACCAACCCTTGCCTTCAGTCATCCTCCGCAGGGCACCCATTCTCCTGCTGGCAGCATCCATGTTCAACGTGTTCTTGTCTAGCCCTGCAAGTGCGCGATCCACTACGCCTTTGTCCCCTTCGAGCGTGTTCCCAAAGTGTATTGACTGCTCTTTCAGTTGTCTTGCCATATCTAGCAAGTCCGTCGTGAGTTCTTCTTGTTCGTTGCGTTCGTGGGAGAGGAGCGCTTCTGTTTTCGCAAGCGAAGGGTCGGCTGTGCTTGAGGTAGATTTGGACGGAAACAAAGACTTGCCGGATGCTGATTGAGTCCCTGCTGCGTTCGCCTCCGGCTTGCCTCTTCGGCGCAGTTCTGACGCGATGCCTTGTGCTGCATTTTGAAATGCTTCGTTGCCTTCTGTAGATGTCGACACATCGCGCCCAGCTTCCGTTTTCACTCTCGGTGCATACGAGGGAAACTGATCCGCGTCTTCTTCATCAGAGTCTACCGACCCCTCTGACTCCGTGTCGTCTAGCTGATTGAGCTCGTATATCCGTTGGTTGAGTTGCTTTATGAGTTCGCGTTTCTGTTGTAGGTCGTTTTGTAGTTCGGCTTTCTTCGACTTGGAGGGTATCGTAGAGGCAGAGTGTTCGAGGCTGAGGAGTAGGGTGCGGGCATGTTCAATATTCTATGATACCATCAGTGTATGCAATAGAATGTATAACTGTGTGAAGCTTACCGCGCTCACACGTGCGCGCTCGTAGGTGGACTTTCGCAACTGCGGTGACGGGTCGACCAGTACTAAACGGTCTAATCTGGACAACAAGCGATTTAGATTGATGCTCGTGGTGTCGCCGAAGCCCGGAGAGCGAGTTCTTGTAGTCATCGTAACGGTTGTGGTGGTGCGCTTCTAGGTGGATGCGATTGAAAGCAGGCAAGAGTGATGAAGAGGTGACGCTGGCGGGGTAGCAACTGGTACACGCTGTATCTTAGGTCAAGACGTGTTTATTCAGCTTGTGTTTCTTCGAGGTTCTTGTCTCGTCAAGATAGTTTGGGCTTAGGCAGCGCGTAGTTGGTGAAAGGTGTTGTTCATGTGAATTTACGTGTTCTCTCCGACGTCACTGTCGCGAACACCAATCGTGGCATGGTGGGTCACCCCCACACGAGCCTAAGCTCTTGCTAAGACAACATCACAACATCTGGTACAAGTCTCATGAGAACAATTGTTCATAATATGATACATCCTCTTGGTATAGTACAAGTCATGTGGTCGTCTAAAAACTGACCAATTCCATCGCTACGCTGTTTTTGCGCAAATGCGGCAATGCATGCTTCATCAAACTCCAGTCATCGCTATAACATGCTGAATGGATACACTCAAAGAAACAACAGAATGCTAATCAAGCTACTTCTGAGAAGGAGTAATGGGACCACGAGTGAAGCTACAAATTGTTAGCAAGGTGTCATGGTTCATGGGAAAAGAGGCATGACGTACTTGTTCCAGAGAGTTCCAAGGAAACCTGGCTTTCCGTATGCGTCGTGGAATGACTGCCTGCGAGCCATGCTCTCTTCATCTTGACGACGCTTGAGGGCCTCTAGGTTGCCAAATCGCTGAGCTGCAGAAGACTGAGAGATGTTAGCAATTATTGATTAAGGAGAATCCTGAGTAAAAACCCAGGGAGGATGAACATACCCTACGACGGCCATCGTAATATGAAGAGCCAACTGAAGACTCAGAAGAACGACGGTCGGCCTCCTGCTTGGGTGCTTCGGGCATGGCTGGGGTGGTGTTGTCTTTAAAGACCTTGTGGTTCTGGGAAGAGTACTTCTGCTGGAATGGGGAAGGCATTGTGTGGTGTAGTTGGACTGATTGAGGTGTTTGAGAAGGTCGGAGTTGGTTGAATTTGTTGATTGAGGCTGAACGTATGTTTGAGTTGTGATATCCTTTTCTCAACGGACAGCAGCAGCTTCATATAGCCGTTGTTCAGCTGAATGTCTTCAAAGGTACGATCGCTCGTGGCCTGACCATTACGCAGACGATATGTGATCGTACCAATCAGACGATGGTGGACTTCCCCCGCATTCCAAACGTGCAGCTTGGACCCTGATTTCTGTAACAATGACATGGAAAGAGCAGTTGCTGAACGCCAACCTGCTTACGAGCTCACTGATCAGAGCAAAGGGTCCTTATCCAGCGAATCAGGTCTTGATGATTCATACGCGTCATGTACGGCTCGGGGCTTCCTGGCATGAACCCCCGCTATCATGTCCTCCACAACGTGACTTCGATCCAGGCTGACAGTCGTGGTCTCGAAGATAGTCTGGGAGATTCCAGAACCGGTTGGATTGTCGGCGGACCCTTGGGGGGCTGAGTCACGTGCTAGTACCATTCATAGTATATCGATCGCGCTAGCCTTTGGAAGTAGATCGGTCTTGTCCCGATCACTGCTTGATCCCGGGGTAAACTGGAACCATGACGGCGTGGTCGACGGTGTGTTTGAGAAGAAGTCCTAAAGCAGCTACGCGCGTTGCCCTGCTTCACATCGAGCTCGACCAGCTCGACCAGACGGCTAACTCCGTTCAGCGCTGAAGCTGCCAAACCCTTATCGCCAGGTGGTACCTTGACATCTTGTGCATACTCCGGAGTACCGTATCGACCAGGTCATCGTTGTTTCTTTTTCTGCGAACGCTGTTGATGTCATCAGAGGACGTTGCTCGAACTACTCACCTTGCTTTGTGTTGCGTTCCACGGACCCTGTAAATCGTCCAGTTCACGGTCAAGGGCCGACGGGATCAAATCTCGCCTGGGCAGAATCACGTGCATGACGTCAATGGCTTACTTGATGGCTGACTAAACACGACGCGTTACCCGATTAGATAAGCGAAGCTGGAAGAAAATGTCTTCCGCTCTTGCACTGCAGAACTTCTCCTCACCTACCAAGGTCACTCGCCTCTCCGATGCAGGCATCCACCAATCTTTTCGCGACACCGATGGCGACCGGCGCATCTTGAGTCAAAGAAACCGAGGTAGAAGCGACACGCGTCCTGAGCCGTGTCTTTAGAGTTTGAGGCTCCCCGCCGTTGGGTATCAGACTGGTTCTTACAGGTGAAGATTGGCAGGTACTGATGCAGATCTCTCGGCCACAGAAGAGCCGGGCCGATGAGAGAAAATCTCCCTCGTATCCAAGCTGTCCGAGTTTTGTCGCACAACACTCTCCTTTTCAATGCAGCCGCACACACATACACTCACACATGGCGCAAACTCAGTGCGTGTCATCGACTGCACTGCCTTGCCTCGACGTCCGCCTTGCCGTCGCCGGCCGAGGACCCTGACAACTGACAGGTCCACGAGGACGCCACCATGTACCTAGGTACCAAAGGTATGTTACATTCGTCCTTTGCCTCCCCCTTTCCTGATGATACCACAATTTTCAAAGCATAGTTCATCTTAGTCTTCGGACAGTGAGGAACGAAATCAGCAATGTCTTTCGCTCCTATCTGACACAAAAAACCCACAATTATTCACGTCTACCTTCTGGTCGAACACTTTCTGACAATGAATAGACTTTGCAGTATTCCCGCATCGCAGTGAGCATGCGCCACCAAGTAGGCCACAACCTGAGGCGCCTGCCAGACACCCGTCACCGGGTAAGCGATGTGTCGCCTGGTAACGTCTCAAGGCTAAATGCTGTGCGTGGTTTCTCCAAGCAGCCGCCGACGATGCCTGTGCCACAGCGCACGCTTGAGAAGGCAATCTCAGTGGGATTGTATCACTGTGATGTATGCAGGTGCCGTCATGTCTGTCGTGAAGCCATGTCAGATCCGATTCAGAAGTCCGATTCAGAAGCAGCTCCCATCGCCGCATGTGTGCGCGCGCGCATCTCCTTCTCCTATGAATAAATAAGATTTCAAGGGGACAGTCAGTGCGGAACGTTGCGGGTGAGCCGGCTGAAGGGAGGGAGGGACACCGTTGTCCCATACACCACATTTTATCAATCAAACGCTATTGCTATTGCGCGTTCGCCGGGAGGTGCGCAACGCTCAGCCTCTCCATTTGCATTGTTGCCATGATTTGAGAGGATTATCCCCGGGGTAAAGTTTATTCATGTTGATCGCGGGACTACACGAGAATCACAACGATCTTGTGTACCTCCGGTGCAACAGGCCCTGATTTTGCAGGTTTGGCGGCGTTATCGAGCCGCCATCCGGCCTCGCGGTTGGTGGTTGGCAGCGGCGATCGCTTCCCACTATGCAAGCCCGGCAATCCCCCGGCAACAATTCAGTTTAGATTCCCACAATTCGTACCCATGAGTGACATCGATATTTCGCCGACTCGGAACGCTGTCCTTCCAATGTAAGTCGCGAGACGTGCAGGATAACTGGAGAACCGAGCGCCGTCTCTGTGACGTTAGCGTTTGACACAAATTGATAAGAAAGCCGCCTTCCCAGCCCGACCGCCGAAGGATTTTGGCCCATTGGTTTTTGTACCGCCGAAGCACCGCAACAAGATTTTACTCGTGGGATATGCTTGTGGGGCTGTCTCCTATGCGTTGGCACTCGAACTAAGCCACCAACCGGTCAGCACGCACGCCCTCCCACACATTATTGTCCCGCTCGTTTCCTCCCTCTCTTCTCAACTCAACACCACACACCTACCTACACACGACATCAGCAATCGCCTCTGCAAACCAGCACATTCGAGCGATTTTTCTGGCATAATTTGCTAGCAACGACCATCAAAGACGACACTCTCAAACAAGAGCCCTTGCTCAGGATGACAATTCGGAGCCCAGACGGAGCCCTATCCAGGTACTTACTGCCCAACGGTTTCCCCCCAACTCATGTTCTGCTTTACGCGTTTCTTACCTTTGACTACGACATCCTGTGTTGCTAGACTCATGTATTTCTTTCTTACTGTTTGTTTTTGTTTGCCGCCATTACAGCCCGCATGGATGCCCAAAGGATGCCACAGGATACCTTCCACTGGATGTGCCGCCCTGGTACAGGATCTCCACTTGGCCACTTTTCTTCAGTAACTCAATGCCGGATGCTTCCCAGGACAGCCTTGGATTCGAGAGACGTAGCGCACTGCCCTTGCAGTGTTTGTAGACACGACAATCACGAGGCCTCGCTGCCCCGACTTCAAAGCTATCATGCAGAGCTCTTGAATCGGCGGTCAACAGTCACGAGTGGATCCTCGCGCTAGTCACATGCACTACGACGCACTATCTGGAAGATGACCAACAACAACGGTATGCCACCCTGCACCGCCCCCAGGACAACGTAGGCAACTCTCAGCAATGTCGTTCATTTATGTTATGTTCGACTGCGCTCAGCGACACGACTGGTAGTATCAATGTACGCAATCCACACCCAAGGAGCCTACAAGGATGAAGCCATCATGGACCTGCCTTCAGCATCCCAAGCCACACGGACTTCTCATGGACCCTGCCACGGTTCTCCACTGGACGCTAACGAGGACCACCATGGTCATGGACTGATTTGGAAACATTTGGAGATACGAAGTACGTACTATAGGCTGAAGCTTCAGCCTATCCACATCGACTCATTGATCCGAAACTAACTTGGTTGTTGTTGAAGGAGCATAAGATGTTCTGGATGATTTGCTCCGCTTTCATCTTTCCTGGCTTCATTGGACGTTACTGGATCTCACTGGATTATACACTGGATCATCAACTTCTCGCTAAAGGACTCATGGATGTTTCAGCTCATCCATAATACCGTCCCTACCTCCCCAGGAACCAGGTCGCTACCTCGCAGACAATCCCAGTCTTACTGGCTTCCTAAGGTGTGTGCTAACCACTGACGCCTCTGCGCTGCTTTGACTGACCTCTCTATAGGCATCCTCGGACATACTAACATGGCGTTTTCCTTTGTACATCTTCACGAACATGTTAGGTTTGCGCGTTTGGATACTAACTTTGGTGTCCAGCGACTCTTTCTTCGACTCACCACCGGAGAGTGCTTTCTACATCTCAAACATCACAGAGTGGAGGAAGGAAATCCCAGCCCCGGTCGTTTCCGCACCGGACTTTCCTTTCTCTTCAGACTTCCAGGACATGCACACAGCAGAATTCTTTGAAATCAAGGATACTGCTTCGGAGTGCAGCATGGACAGTGCATACCAGAGCCAGAGCGGCGCCAGCCGGCGCGGAGCCCAGAAGCCGGAGCTACACCACCAGGATAGCCGGATCAGCAGCCAGTTTGTTGGCAGCGACATCTACTCGCCGACCATGAGCTCGGAGAACTACAGCACATTCCCGGAGACCCTGGACATGAGCCACATGCAACCAGCCACATCCGGAACATGGAATGCCACAGAGGGACCCCTCACATATGCTAATTACTCTACAGCTCAGGACTACACACACTACTCGCCAGCGAACATGCCTCGCTTCGCACCGTCCACCATCGCCGACTCACCGCAGTGGGCTACATCCGAGACCAACTTCCAGAACAACCCCTTCACCTTCACATCATGGCCAACAAACGACACCATGTTCAACTCGCCTCAGCGCAACTGGCACAGCGCCTCCTACGATGCCTCAGAGCGTCCCGCCACTCTACGCAACTCTTCATCATACTCTCTCCAAGAAGAGTCACGGCGAGCTTCAGCTCAAGATGCTGGCTTCGGCGCATTCGTCGGCACACCGACCAGCACCGCCAGCGTCCACTTCCCTCAGACAGTCAACGTTCTTGAGGACACCAAGCCCGCGTCTGTCGCCCACTCAGTGGAAGACAACGAGGACAGCCTCTCCCAGTCCGAGGCAGCTGAGACCAAGCTCGAAGAGGAGCGCACCAAGGTCGCCCGCAGCCACCCTCTCTACCAGCAGACACCAGACAAGGATGGAAAGTATCACTGCCCTGAGGAGGGCAAGGCCGGATGCACCCACAAGCCCACCGCTTTGAAGTGCAACTACGAGTATGTATCATCCTTATACAACCCAACATGCACTGACACCTTTAACAGCAAGTACGTTGACTCTCACCTCAAGCCTTTCCGCTGCAACAAGAAGACCTGCGTCGGTGTGCAGTTCTCCTCTACTGCATGCCTCCTCCGTCACGAACGTGAGGCGCACGGTATGCACGGTCACGGCGCGAGGCCGCACCTTTGCCACTTCCGCGACTGTGAGCGCGCTGTGCCAGGTCACGGCTTCCCTCGTCGCTACAACCTCTTCGACCACATGAAGAGAGTACACCAGTACGATGGGCCCACTACTGAGCCATCGCCGCCTGTCCAAGGACAGGCTCCTCGCAAGTCAGCGTCTCGCAAGCGCAAGGCGTCGGCTGAGGAGACTGGTGAGAAGCGCGTCAAGGTTGTCAAGCTCACTGCCGAGCAACAACGCCAGCAGCGTCGCGAGGCCCTCATCAAGGAGTTCTTGAGCAAGAAGCAGCACATCATTGATGTTCTGACCAATCTCAGTGCCCCCAACGAGCTCGGCGACGACATCCAGTTGACGAAGGAGGTCGTTGGCCTTCACGACATCTGCACTCAGTACCGAGATGTCTTCGGCGGCTGAATGAAGCACACGTCTGGTAGACTCCGTCTGCAGAGACAACCGCCAGCAGGTTTGTCATCACAAAGCCGGACCCCTACCCTTGTTTTTTCAATGCATACACATCGCGTTTGATTTTCTGCGTTCTCCGAAAGCCGGATGGATTCCCGCATGCCTCGCGGATGAAGGACCATGACTTCCCACAAGTCTCGGATGGATGCCACTTGCCCTGGATGGCCACAAATCTCCGGAGAAAACCCAGGATACAGAGCCAAGGACATGTCCCAGCCGTGGACTCGGATGCCAAAGGATAGCTAGTCAGCTCTTGGAGCGACAGCAACCCCGCTGAGGGGGAGAAGGACTGAGGTCTACTCATTGCACTATGCATGGCATGAGTTGGTTGATGTATCAGATTGATCTAATGTTAACGGAGGAGTGTAATTAGTACAGTTGTATTTCTTTGGCTAGTTGTCAGTATTCGGAAGGATGACCATGGAGAAGAGGTCGGTCTTGTATAGCCATCATTACCCGCCGCGCGGACGTTGGTGGCTGGAGGAGAGATTGTTCTTGCTTTTGTACGTAGTTTTGCTATTCATACTGTTGTTGTTTTATCAAAATCACTCTTCATGTGCATGTGTGACCTTTAGAGTCGTTGATGGCAATAGAGGGTGCCTGAGCTGCTACGTCGTGGGCGCCCTCCCCAACTCCGGCATACTTCGGCAGCCCCTCATGCTTCCAAATACCTTCTATTCATCTAAAGAAGCCGATCGCGTGAAGTCCCAAATGTAGCAAGCAATCACCGAAGTCGTCAACGGCGCCCCACCGCCAGGTGCATTTTCGTCCGTAGTACGCAGTGGGTGGGACAAGCCGAGGTTGTGTCTGACCTGTCAGGCCCGATGGCCAGAGCCAAAGATCGGGTCTCCATCAGGGTCTTATTGCGTAAGCCCAAACCGCCAGTCAAACAGTCGTGCCTGGCTAGACCGAATCTTCGAGTAAGCAAAACACGGTCAACGGAGTTCCGCGTTTGCGTAGGATTATTAGGATTACGATTACGATCACATGCCATGATTCGATTGGGAGGGGCGACAAGCCGCACAGCCCCGCGTATCGCGACGAACTTCAGACCTGTTTTGCGACACGACTTAAAGCTCCGAAGCCTTACCACCACTTTTGCACCTTGCGCTTATACTACTTCTACACGCTCCTATATACCTGTTTTCGAGAAGAAGACTGTCTACGTAAAGAAAGAAGTACCAGGACGAACAGCACACTACACAACCATGGCTTCCGCAACGAGCTTCTTCGACTTCAAGCCCAAGGACAGTACGTCACACCTCTCTTTCCTCTCCCTCTCGCCCATCTCTCTTCGCAACAGCAACTAACAACCCCACGCAGAAAAGGGCACCCCCTACGACCTCTCCAAGCTCAACGGCAAAGTCGTCCTCGTTGTAAACACAGCCTCAAAATGCGGCTTCACCCCCCAATTCGAGGGCCTCGAGAAGCTCTACAAAGACGTCAAGGCCAAACACCCCAACGACTTTGAAATCATCGGCTTCCCGTGCAATCAGTTCGGTGGTCAGGACCCAGGCTCCAACGATGAGATTCAGGAGTTTTGCCAGTTGAACTACGGTGTTAGCTTCCCCGTGCTGGGCAAGATTGATGTAAGCAACGAAACGAAACGAAACTACGGCTTATGCGATACAATGAACACATGCTAATTACTTTTCTTTTTGTTGCGCATAGGTCAACGGCGCATCCGCAGACCCCGCCTTCGAATGGCTCAAGAACGAGAAGCCTGGCCTCATGGGCCTCAAGCGTGTCAAGTGGAACTTTGAGAAGTTCCTTGTTGGCAAGGATGGAAAGGTCAAGGGCAGGTGGGCGAGCACGAAGAAGCCTGAGGATCTTAAGGCGGATATCGAGAAGGAGTTGGCTGGTAAATAAGCGGTGGATGATGGCGTGATGAGGGCGTGGCACATACAAGGACGGAGAGGCTTGAAGCCGGAGAGGAGGGATATATGATGGAGTATTGATACCACTTGCATTGAATGGAATTGATCGCACTATGAATGGAGCGGCTATACGTGATTTGGGCCGGGCGGATACCATGGTGATGGGTGTTAACATCCTGCTCATTAGTCAGGGCTGGAGTGTACACCGAGTGTACTTCTTGCGCCCTCGTCGCATCACTGAAAATACGTATCGAGCGCCAGCACCATACAAAGAGGACATTCTGAAAGCCATGATATCGACATGTACGAGCACCGCGCTGCAGCCGCTGACCGCACTCTACTTTTCCAAAACACGCACTTGCAAGCGCATGGGCGACACTTTCTGTTCTCCAGACGTCGCTAGCGGGTCTCGAATGCAGGTATAAAACCTCGGCGCTGGGCCTCCTCACTCCTTCCATCATACCTTTCCACCAAAAATCACTTTTACCAAATCGCGCGTTACAAGGATTCATGTGGGCTCCTCCCTCTAGTTTCTTGCTTGCTGCACCAAAACTTCCGACCCATCAAGTCATGTCTGCATCTCCAGTAAAGAGGCCGTAACCAAAAATTGAAGAAAAAGATAGCGATGTGTCGCGTCAATCCCGTCTACACAGCTACCTTGGAAGATTTTCAAAATCGGCATCACTAACTTCCATGAGTCGAGAGCCAGCAGGGGGAAGATTTGAAAAGATAATCCAGATATCATCATACATGCGAGATCAAAAATACTCGTGATCATTACATGTTCTTGCTGTCCTTCCTCCTTTCCGATGCACTCATCTGCGCAAACTAGACTACTAGTAGTTCATGTTTGGTCGTAGCCTAGGGAGCTGCATAATATATGTTTTAGTGTATTGTATACCTTTATTTCCTCTTCTGTGTTTTAGCATTAATAGTATTATGTACTTCTGCAATGGCCACGGACTTTGTGCAGGCGCTCATCACGCTATCCTTTTCCTATTGCCAATATTTTAGCAATCCCCGCGAAATCGGCCTAGCTACCTAACCCGCCTCACGACACATTTCTCAACGTCACCATGTTCAGGCGACCCAGGATCACCAAGTTCGTCGACAGCCTGCGCAAAGTGCCCGAGGGTGAAAGCATAGAGCGGTTAAAGCTTAACAATTACCTCCAGCCTTGGGGATTTACCATCTATCGAACGTATTATGGACCCGGATCTAATGAGCAATGGGATAAGCTGCTACAGAACATCACCACTGGTGTCAAGCATCAACTTAAAGCGCATGGAGAATTAAATGAAGACCCTGCCATGATTACCAAAGCGGAGGAACTCTTCAAACTGGATGCGCGTTCAGATCCCGCGGTTCTGGACGGCTTGACACTTGAACAAGTACAGCAGCTTTACCACAATGGAACGGGAGGCCAGCCATTGAACAAAGACAATGGTCCATGGCGAGTCTGTATCCTAGTCGACGCAGACGTGTTCGCGAGCCCTGACCTTGGCATTATCAAATGTGTAGCGGCGGATTACGACGCGGCTGCTGCTGTGCCAACGAATACGGCATTCGGCCCCCAGCGTTGCTTTGGGTGGTTGACTATGTCTTCCGGACACGTGTTGACTTTGTGGTTTGAACTGGAAATGTATTTCTTCGAGGAAATCGGTAACGCTACAGCTGGTGGCCCAGGCGCCTGGTGGGACCCAGACAAATGGTGATGGGGCCAAGTCCACCTCATAGTGCACTACCGCTGTGCTGCGTGCGAACTGTAGCCGAGTTGCTTTGCAAACCGATGGTTATGTAGCTTATTGTTTGTGTTGGATCGTGATCCGAGGAGCTAGATGATGTATAAATGATGTCTTCTACACCCTCATTCCTTCTTCTACAACCCCGACACCTTTTCAAAGTTTATTATTAAAAATGTTTACTCAAGACAAATTATGAGTGTGAGCACCCTCTGCTCGCGCGAGAAAACACTAAAACTTGATACCTACATATGCATGATCAGACTGGTGACTCTCTGTCTTATCAAAATAGAGCACATGCCTCTACATGACTTCGGTTGTTTCAAAAAGTCGCGGCCACACTCTATGAGTGTTTCCTCGGTCCTGCACTTAGCAAAAGCATGCTTTCTACCGAGTCGAAAAATCTGCGTTCTGGATAGCAATGCTTTTACGTAACAACGTAAACCACTGCTCATGGAAGCAAGACTTTCGGCACTTCGCTACCCTCTTATTCCAGAAAGGGTTCCGCAAAGGTGCTTATGCGCCTTTGTCTGCATCCCGCTCACTATAAAAGATGTGCGACTTCCCGCATAGTTTCTCCTAATCTATTACACAAAACTTCTGGTACTATATTACAAAAAAACGATCGTGAGGCGTCAGATGGACTTGTCGTTGCGTTGGTCTCTCCGAGGCTCTTTTCATGTGTTCTCGTGCAACGAGAAAGAAGCCTTGTCCATTCATTCCAGGATGCCAGTGTCAAAATCACCGATCGGGACTTCCAAAACAAAACTATGAAAGATTATATCATGGGCGCCCTCTGAGGAGAAAGCAGGATCAGGAGTCCTCATGAAGCGGCTGCACTGGCAGCCAAAGCGCATACCTTCAATATCGTGTCCACCACGACTGCGCGGAAATCAGTCGCCCGAATCAACGCCAGCCTCTATATTTACCTTCACGTCTTACCCGGTTTCTGTCATGTACCGTCATTTTTCTTGGGAAGAAGACTGAAAATGATAGGCTCGGAATGTATGTGTGGTGGGCTGGTCTACTGTTACGATTACTGGGCTGGAGGCGCGGTGGTAACTATGCAGACGCCCGCGATCTACACCTTTCAACAAATTACCTGATTAGGAAAGTGCTCATCCACCAAAATACAGAGAGTCACGGTGGATGAAAGCTGTTCTGAAGTACATGAAATGTACTATACCAAAGATGAATGGTCTGAAAGTGCCAACGCACGTCGTCATGTTCTCCTGCGCTGCATGGCAATATAAAAGCACCTCAACCTGCCGTTTCTTCCTCTTTATCCTACACCCTACCACCAATTTTCTCAAAAGCGATACGACCAACTGCCATGGCGTAACTGCGTGTCTGTCCGCACTGTTTTTGTTAGTACAAAAGACAACCCCCCATAAGCCATGTGTGCCCCGGTCTTCGAGAGCAACAAAAACATTCGTCAGAACACGGCATGTGTCTCTGTGACTACCACAAATACGGATTCACAGCCGTGATGTCTTCCTCGCCTTCATGAGTGTATAAGTACCTGCTTTCCTCCTCTTGTTCTCTTGCCTATCAACTAAAACATACCTTGGGTTCCTCGATTCTAAAAAGACGATAAAGAGCTCTCCATGTTGCCAACGCCTTTCTAGGACAGCCAACGAAACGAAATGACGGAGATCAGCTACGTATGAAATTTTGGGGCAACTGCGTCCGTCCTTTTCACTAAGACACCGTCGCCGTGCAAGACAACTTCCACAATAGAGTTAATAGACAACGTATGTCTCTGTCTCGGATTGCAGGCTACATCAAAAGCCGCATTATTCCGTTGCATGCTTCCTGGTAGTGACTTCCTCAAACAGGACATGATAACTTCAAAAGTGCTTCTTCTTTTCCCATGTCTCCTGCGTTCTTTCTTTTGGTCAGAACACCAGAACTGCTACTAAAAGACAGCCTGGACGAAGTCATGGCTTGCCCGAGTCGTCTTCTCTATGTAACCTCTTTCTACCTTTTCAAGATACCTCAAAAGCTCAACCAAACAAACTCTATGCGATCAGTTTTGAGGTGGGTCGCAATATAAATATCTACGCCAGTACGTCCCCTTTTCTTCTACACACATTGTTCCTCCCCCAATTTCACCAAAAGAGCGCGAAAAAGCCAGACATGTGCTCTTCGCTCCTCTCCTTCTTTTCACCAAACCAAGTTCGAGTCCACGCAATGGCGCGAGAGTTCCTTACCGTAAACGCATCACGGTACCGTCTCTTTTCCAAAAGCACTCAAGCAGTTGGCCATGAGTAGCAGATTGACACCCGCGCAATGAGCTTAGCGCCATTTCAAGTGTACATAAATATCAGGAATCTTTCTCTATTCATCACCATCACCCACTCGAGAACATTGCAAACGAGAAAGATCGTATAGACAAGCTTATGTGTGCTGGAGTTTGGTTCAAACTTTATTTCCAACCAAAAGAATGACAAATCGCAAACGATGAATACTATGGGTGCAATCTAGCGGGGTGTGATTCAACGGGACGAGAAGTGGCGATGATGATCACCATCATCACCATCGACAGCATTAGAACGGACGGATTATGAGGTAGAGCAGAGCCAGGCATGCAAGAATAGTAAAGCAAAGGTTTTATATATCTCTAACAACGACTGTAGTATGGTTTTCTCCCTTTTCTTTCTCAACTGTGATAAGCCTGTTGGGCAACAAGGAGTGTGTAGAATCGAATGCTATCTCCTGGAGATAGCCTATACATCATTCCCACTGCAGCTGATGTCCCCATCCTGCTTTGTATCTTCTTCACACCTTTGCAAGTCCGATGTTGAAGTGCGATGTCACACTGTCACACACTTTGGCGTGCGACCGCATGTTGGCACGGACGCATGCAGTGTGGCGCCTGAAGGATGGTGCCAAGTTGAGCTGCAGTACGGACTGGATCCAATATCGATATCTGTGCTAACGCACTGGCAGTCGCCTTCTCTGGTCCTGCCGACGGAGCGCACTGTGGGTCGGACGACCCCCTGTGAAGCATCTTGCCCCGTTGGGTGGAAGAGAGGCTCGCAGCCAAAACGTGGTACGTAACCAGTAGGAATGATCCCTACGGTATCATAAGACAAGGGATCAGTCGTATCCGTTGTTGCCAGTGCCTATCTGGCTGGCGAAAGCCGTGGAAACGCTACGAGCATCGTCATCCTCAAAGCCACCAAGTCCATTACGCAGACCGCGACCAGCACCGAACCCAGTACCAACGTTGGGACCCTGACGGGTG